TATAAAAACTGTAACCAAAGTACATGTAACAACTGCTTCTATTTTACAACAATGGTTCTTACTCAGCAACTCAGGTTTTTAAACCTGTTAAAAACAGATTCTCAAACAAGTTTACCTTGAGTTTTTCTTTTCTTTTCTTTTTTTTTTTTAAAGAGACTGGAACTAGATAGCTCAGAGCTAAAAGGAATTTAAAAGAACCTGGTGTAAACTGAGTTAATACACACGGAGAAAATTCTTGAATTCACCGATTTAAGCCAATTCCCTCATATTTTTTCATATATACTGGGATTTTTCGTTTCACCGTTTTTTTTTCTTAAACTAAATCGAATCTCTTGTCCAAAATGGACAACTCATTTTTCTGTGACTAGATCATGAAAGTTAAATCCTTTATTTATTTATTTTTTTCCCATTCCTCCAGATGCCCACAGATCGGGCACTCTGTTACGGAATGAAGACAAACAGACTTCTTTCTGATCCGTCACGTTCCGAGTTCGGATCGGTCACTTACTTTTGAGAAGACCAATAGCAAATTGCTTTAGAAAACGACAAAACCACAGGAGACACCAGTAGCTACAATCCACCACCGTGGCCGCTCGCCTTTTGCAGTGAATCGAATTAAATACGATTATTTCGTTTGTCCTGTGCTTTTCCAAGCCAACTTCGCGTTTAGGTTCTCTCACCGTCGACACCACACGTCAGAAATATTAGCACATTTCAGCTAGAAAGACTGAATTCTTCAAGGTCGCGCTCTCGGCTTCCTGGGTCTTAGAGGGCAGCGTCCACGAAACGTGGTCTCGGCAACAGCCGGTCTCACCCGGAATTTTTCGTTTGCTTTTTTTTTTTTTTGGAGGGGGGGGAGTGGATTGTTTGGTTTCTCTTAAAACCATCTCGGGTACCCCAAAGGGGGCTGGAAGGGGAAGGGGTAAAACGTGTGGATTTCTCTAGAAACCTTAAGGAAGCGCCAGCTTCGGGAAACGTCCGCCTCGGGTCCTAAGATGAGGGCGTGCGGGCAGAGGGGCAGGAAGCCGCAGCCGGACGCCGGAGCATGGCGCCCACCCAGGCCCGCGCGGGCGCCGGCGAGGGGGCGAGGGCAGCCACGCGGTCGGGGCGGCGCGCCCAGGCGGATCACCCCCCAACCGCCGCTCCCAGGGCCCCGACTCGGGGTCGACGTTGGGGGCGAGCAGTTAAAGGGCAGGAAAGAGAGCGCCAGAAGGGGAGGAACCCAATCCCGCCCCTTTGCCCCACCACAAAAACCAACGAGGGCGCAAAGGGTTATTTTCGCGCCACAAAGATGGAAATACACGGGCTGCGCGCCAGCCAATGAGAGAGCACCAGCAAACGGCTCCGGCGGCGGCGGCGGGCAGCGATTGGCTTTCTATCTGCGCCAATCGGGCGAGGGCAGCGCCCCTCCCGGCGCCCGTTGCTCAACTCGGTCCGCGCGCCGGGGGCCTGAGGAGCGGCCGTCCGGCCCCGCCCCGCCTCAGGGCCGCCTCCGCCGGGCGACTCTCGGCATCCCCGGGCGCTCACGCCGGCGAGGCCGCGGGGCTCCGAGGAACAGAGGACCCGGCGGCGCGCCTGCCGCCCCGACGGCCCCCTCAGCTGCCCGGTCGCGCGCCCGAGCCTCGGAGCCCGAGACGGAACCAGGGGCCCCGGGGCCCGACGGCGGCCGGGCGGGACCCTCCTCAGCCGGAGCCACGAGGGGAGCCCACCCTCCTCTTCCTCGCCGCGGAGCCTGAGGGAAAAAGGAAGCAGCCTTCACCTTCCATGTCCCGGGGCACCATTCCCCCTCCCACCCCCCGTTGTTTGTGGAAATGTTTAAAATCGTACCAAAAAAAAAAATATTTTTTTTTAAATAAAAATGAAGGTAGAGCCGGGTCGGCGCGCCAGGAGCTGTCCGGGGCGCCCCTGCCCGCGGTCACCCCCCGACGCGTGGACCGCCCACCGGCGACTACCTCGTCAGCTTTCCACGGGCCGCGAAAAACATCCTTGTCCTCAGGTTAGCGAACGGAGCCTCCCGAAGAGCAGAGTGGGGGTGGCGCTGGTGGGGTCCCCGTGTGTGTGTGTGTTAGCTTAGTGGAATTAGCTCTGCCTGAAAACCACCAATGCTTAGGAAAGAAACCCCCGGCAAGGCCAGATGCACTTCATTTGTGTGTGGTTTATCGCAGACTGGGAAGCAGACGCTGCTTGCAACTTAGATTCGTCCTTGAAAATTCAACCAAAGAGGTTTCTGCACCTGAGGTGTTAAGTGTAAAAAAGAAAAAGCCCAGGACATATATCTACATCTTTTTTTTGTTTTCTTTGCTAAGCCACAGTGCATCGAACTTTGTCCCTCGGATGTCAGACTGGGAGTGGGGTGGATGCCATTCGCCTCCCCCTCTTTTTTTTTTTTGAGGTTCCTGGATGGAGTACCCAGTGGGTTACAAGCATCCAGCTTACCTTCCCGAGCGCCCTAGGAAGCTACTGCATGCAACTGCACACGTTGCCTGTAAATTCCAGATGTTGGGAGATATGCGTGATCGTCAGAGACAAGCATAGGCTAGTGTTTGTGGAAAATAAACCACTTATCTCATGCTTTGGAAGGAGGTATTTCCTTCGGTCCCGGTTTTAGTAAGAGCCACTGCAGTCAGCAATGTATAAGCCGCCTTGCAGCTGCTGGTGGAAGCTAAGCTGAACACCTAAGCCCAGTGTGTTCTTACAGAAAATCAGCTAAAAGTGAAATGTCCAACAAGCTAGGAGATGCCGTGGTCTTTATCAAACCCAATACTAAGCGGACTAAAAGCATTTCTGTTTTTGATCACGAGCAGCAAATACTTCAAGAATTCAGCATTGTTTATATTTTCACATTTTGCATCCCAAAGTGGAAGGAATCTGATTTCAGAAATCTCTTTAAAAGAAAAAAAAGGCGAAAATAACAAACAAGCTTTTTGCAGAGCAAAATCCAATTAGATACTTTGAGAAGTTTCACCACTAAAATGTTCTTTCCAGACGAAGCTTCATAATCATTACACTAGAACGTTGGTCTCCAACTCATCAAGCTAGAAAAAAAAATTAACCTAATTAAACCTGAAAGAAAGTGGGAACGTGTTTTTACATTGGTCAAGCTGGATTTGTCTGGCAGGAAAAGGAAAACCTGTTAGAAGAAACAGTTTCTTTTAAAATGGATGATCTGACGCCTTCCGGTTACTTAATGCGAAATGATAAAGTTCCTTGTAAGAGACAAAAAGTAAATAGCAGTGTATGGTGCCAGAACCCCCAAGTTCCAAAGGAGAAAGTACCGTTCACGTTTTATTGGAAAGCACTTTACAATGCTACACAGTATGTAGTTGACAGAGAAGTGAATGCTATGGATTGTTCATCACATAGGAGTTTCATTCACGTGGAACGTGAGCGTCTGCTCCGTCTGCTCAGTGGGAATACCTTCGCTAAAGCCATCCCAGGTGTCCGGGGTAGAGGAGGATTTTGGAGCGGGGGGGGGGGCTCACCATCCTGAAAGGCCCTCGGCGGGTAGCAGTCTTCGGTCGGGACTCCTCGCCTGCAGCTCCCAGCTGCTGCCCCCACCAAGGCTCCCCCGGGCCCAGACCCTCCCCCACGCCCACCATTGTGCTCCTTCCTGGCCGCGGCCGCAGCCTTGGTTCGCTGGGCTACAAGGCGCGCCCCGGGGACGCAGCGAGCAAACAGTTGCAAAGTGAGGTTACCCCCTAAGCGGTCTTCCTGTGCACCACTTACAAGTTCTCCCGACTAAAATCACTTCCATAAAAGTACCAGCCCTCCCCGCCGGCCCTCTATCAACCCTCCAACCGCTCCCGAAACTGCTAGGAGCAAGGAGTGGGGGGAGGGTGGTCCCCTGCTGGCACCGACGGCTCCCCCGCTCCGCAGCCCCGGCCCCCGCGCGCCCCTCCCCCACCGGCCCCGGGCCCGCCCCCGGCCTCATTTATCCCGGAGCCTTTTCTGAGCCGCGCAGCCAATGGCAATCGGCGGAGTCCAGAGCCACCGCGGGCGCAGGCGGAGGAGGTGTCGCGCAGACGCCCGCCCCGGACGCCGCGCCCCTCCCCCCGGCGGCCGGGCCGCCCCACTCGGCTCCCGGGGCGCGGGCAGGCGGGCGGGCGGAGGGTGGAGGGGCGCCCAGGGTGGGGCGCGCCGCCCGCACCGCGTCCGGTCCCCCGCCGCCCTGAGAGGGGGTGGGGTGGGAACGGCTGCACCTCTCTGGAGTTGGAGACTGGGCGCGTTGTGCTTTGGTTGTGAATCACCTATTTGTAAAAAAAAAAAAAAAAAAAAAAAAAATCGAATAAATCAAATGAAAAATTAACAAGAGCCGAGGAATTGCCCAAGGAGCACCTCTCCTCCCGCCCAGGCCAAGCCCTTGTCGTGGGTTGTTGCGGGGGCGCTCGCCCCACCCCACCCCACCCCCGGAGCCCTGTGCAAACTCGGCGGCGCCCCCCGCCCCCACCGCTTCTCTCTCCCTTTCTCTTCCTCGGAAACCCACTCTAATTGAGGCGCTGGGATTCCTCACGAGACGTTGATTTGTAGCTGGAACACGTGGCTCATTCAAAAAAGCCGGACACTCGGAGCGGATTTTTCCGCCGCCGCCGCCCGCGCGCGCCTCCCTCCTGCTCGCCGCCCCGCGGGCGCTTGGCGGGGAGGCGGCGCCGCGCTCGCGCCGGGCGCTATTTTCGCGGCGCTGCCGGGGCCGGGGCCGGGGCCGGGGCCTGGGGGGGGCGCGCCGAGGAGTTGCCGCCCCTCCTCTCCCCTCCCTTCCCGTCCGCTCCCCTCCCCCGCCCGGCTGGTCCCGCCTCCTCCTCCTCCTCTTCGGAGTTGGGAAGACTCGTGGATGCGTCTGGGCCGGAGCCGGGCTTTTGCTTTTTTTTTTTTTTTCTTTTCTTTCTTTTTTTTTTTTTTTTGGAAACACCCAGAAAGGGGCACCCACGAGCCTTTTGACGCTGGTTTCCGCCCCGGCCCCCGGGCTCGGCGCTCGCGCTGCGCGAATCTCCACTACGAGAAGTCGTGGACCCCACCGTCCCCCAGCTGGTTTTTAATTTTTCGTTTTCTTGCCCATTTTGTTTCCTGTTTTTTTTTTTAATTTTTAAAATTCCTTTCGAGCCACGTTCTCTTCCCCCACCACCATCAGCCTCCTTCACGATGAACAAACTGTACATCGGGAACCTGGGCGAGGACGCGGCGCCCTCGGACCTGGAAAGTATCTTCAAGGACGCCAAGATCCCGGTGTCGGGCCCCTTCCTGGTGAAAGCGGGCTACGCCTTCGTGGACTGCCCGGACGAGGGCTGGGCCCTCAAGGCCATCGAGGCGCTTTCAGGTGGGCCCCGGCCCTGGCCGCGCCGCGCTCCGACTCTGCGGGACCCCCGTGTCTCCTCAGGCCGCCGGGGACGAGGCCCGAGCGCCTGGGGGTGGTCCTTGGCGCGACTCCCGCTGCCCTAACCCGGGGGTCTCTCGCGGGCCAGGGGCGTGGAGGAGTGTGCGGACGCGCTGTCAAGAAAGCTCCGCGCGGGCCCAGGCGCGTGTTCCAGGCCCCGGCTCGGGCCGCGCGCTGGACGCCTGCTCGCTCGCCCTTCCTTCCTCCGGGCTTTGCTCTCTGCTCGTTCCTCGCTGCGCTAGCCGCCGCCGGCCCCCGCTGCCGAGGGGGCCCGTGGGGCTGGTGCCTCGCCCTAGCCGACGCGCCCAAGGGGGCAGGTGGGCTCGGGCGGCCTCTGGGGCGGAAAGGCTGCGCTCGCTCGTCGCCTCTCGGGGTCTCTTCGACCGGCTCGGCCCCGCCGCTGCGGGCGCGCTTCGCCGCTCTCGGTCTCCCTTCGCCCCGACCCCCCGAGTTTGTCCAACGTGGGGGTGGAAGTTGTCCCCTTGGGAGGCAGAAAGGGCCGAGGGCTGGGCTGCTGGCTGAGTGGCCCCTAGCTCCCGAGGGGCCCGCGCGGCCCACGCGCGCGCGGCGGCGGCGGCGCGGGCTTTGAGCCTCGCCGGGGTCTCGGGGCGGCCAGAGGCGCCGCCCAGGGTGCGGGGTTCTGGGGGTGCTGAGCTCCACCGGGCGCCTCACGCACCTCTCGTGTGTCTCGCAGGTAAAACGGAACTGCACGGGAAACCCATCGAAGTTGAGCACTCGGTCCCCAAAAGGCAGAGGTAAGCGGCTTTATTCTGTTCCCGCCCCATTGTTGGGAGCAGAGACTCCACGGAGCCGAGAACGTATCCCACCCTGCGCTGTCGTTGAACCGGCAGCTTCTCCTCTGCGAATGGGGGCTTGGAGAGGGTGGGCAGAGGAGGGGAGGGATTGGGTTGTGCTGGACCAGGGACCAAGGGCCGCCGGTGGCCCCAGCTGCTCGCTTATTGTGCTGCCGCCGCCGGTGATGCAAGGGGGTTCTGGCTAGGCTCTGACTGGGTAGGGGCTCTGGGCCGAGCAGGTCCAGGTGCAGCTGCAGGAAATCACACTCAGGTCCGCGTGGGATGTGGGCCACCGCCGGTGACCACACGCACCTGGAGGGCCCGCCCCGGGGCCAGGTGTGGCGACTCTACCCACCCGGAGCATGCTTCTGCCCCTGCCAGCGCACAGGCCATGCTGGGGGTCGGGGCTTCCCAGCCCAGCAGGGCCTTTCTGTCCCCACAGATTCTCAGGTCCCTGCCGCCCCAGTCTTTGTCTCTCTCGGAGCCCCGACGCCCCCCCCCCCGTCTTCCTGGGTCTGTGCATTGTATTTATTTTTGCTTTATTATTATTATTATTATTATTATTATTTTCTCACAGATAGCAGGGTGGGGAAAACGGGGGTTCGGGGCTGTTGAGTAGCGTGTGTGGTGCGTGCCACTTTGTAGTGTGCCTGCCTGCTGACTCTCAGGCTTTGACGCTTTTGGGCAAACAGGCTGTGTTTTCTAGAGCAGGCCGGATCCAGGCTCTGGGGCCCTGCGGGGTAGCGTCCGGGCTAGCCCAGGCCTTCCCGGGTCCTGCGGGGTGGGCCCCGTGGTGCCCCGCCGCCCTCGCCCCCCCATGCCTGCACTCCTAACCCGGGCCAAACAACCTAGCTAGGAGTGAATGGAAAGCGGGGTTGTGTGTCTGGCTCAGCGTGGGCGAGGCGTTTGCTGTGCGGTTGTTCTTGCGGTGCTGCGTGCAGGATCAACCACAGTGGCTCACAGCTGTGTTCCGGGCAAGGTATCTTCATGAATCTTGTCTGTAGGAGTGAGTTGTTTAGTGTTTGTGCGGATTTCTCTTAAATATGTGCTTACTTTTTCTTTAAGACAATGAGGCAGAAGGATCTTGAGTGACCGATTCGATTGAATTCAGTTTGGAAATGTTGGAAGGGGTCATTTCATGTAATGTAAACAACAAAAAATGCTAAAATAATTGCATTTGTGTCGAAAAGTGTCTCAGTGGATCTAATCTAGCAGGAGTTGAAAAACAGACGTCATAGCCCCCCGTGTAAAGAAATTTAAAGGTCTGTCATGTGAACTGGGCACCTCAAAAAAATAAATAATTAAAAAGGACCTTCTACAAATTCTGATTTCAGAGTTAGCCATTGTGTCTTAGCTTTGGTCAGGTGCCGAAAGAAAGGAAGCAAATGGTTATCTTTTAAGCACTGGTGTTTGAACGGTGGGGAGCGTTCTGAAACGCAAACAAGCAGTGTCTTGTTTGAGGTAGACTGGTTAACCTACATGCAGAGGCACCTGAGTGGCTTCACCGCTGCTTTCCCTCTCCAAAGTTGTGGGTTTCTTCCCATGTGTGGGGAGTTAATTTGGAAGCGTCATGTGGTGCCCACTGCTTGCTTTAGATTTGTGCCCAGCCCTGTTACTTTATTACAGCCAGGAGTTCCTCTTTGAGAAAGCATGTAAGGTGCCATGTTAGTGGCAGCAAGTGTCTGGGAGGAACTTTTTCAAGTTTGTAAACATTTTGACATTTTGAAGCTGGTTTTTACACTAGCATTACATTGTGTCACTAGCAGCCTGAAGGGGTAAAATACATTGGAATTTTTTAAAGCATTAATTTGAGAGAACTATCAAGGACTGTAAATCCTTTGCTTTTATTCAGAGATCTTAAAAAGAGTCAGTCCTCTCTCTGCTCCAGGAAATTCACTGGAAATTGGTATTACCGTTTGCTTTCACTTAACACCCAACCCTCTGAGTTGCGGTGTAGTTTTCCTTATCTGAGCTGTTCCATTGCCTGCCCAGGCTCTGGGAGAGGGCAGAGAAGGGTCCAGATGGCCAGTGTCCGGTACCTGATGGCCATGAGAGAAATTTGAGAGCTGTAGACCACTTTTCGCTAAGGAAGCTTGTGGGACGTGAGAGTGGAATGCTGTATGCTTGGCAGTCATTTCGTTCAGACCGGTCATTGTGGCTCCCACAGAGGTTCAGCCATGACCTTTCTACCTGCTGTGCAAGGCTTGTCGGGAGCCTAGTGTGCCCCTTCTGATGGCTGCTGGGGAGAGGGATGAGTGAACTTGCAGCCTGGGAACAGGGGAGCGGGCCCTGGAGGCGTTTGGCTGCATGGCAGGCTGGTCTAGCTCCCGCTACCAGGGAGCTGGGGAGCTGGGCGGGACCCTTTCAAGGAAGGACATTGTTGAGCTTGCTGGAGACCAAGCTTAGCTCCCGAAGAGATTACTTGCCTCCTGGGGGAATGTAGAAGGAATGTGGCTTTTCTGCATTCAAACACAACCCCCCCCCCCCTTGGGAAGATTGTGTCAGCCTCCCCCAGCTCTGGAGAACCCCCTGCCTGCCCCTAGGGGCACACAAAGGACAGTGCTTGTGGTGGGCTTCTTCACTCCCTCCCCCCCCCAGGTGTGGGCTTGCATCTGTCCAGCTTCTTCCCTGGAGGTCTGGGTGAGTGTGGACTTAGTTGTAACTTTGAAAGACTGTAGCTGAATTTGATTGGAAGAGCGGCTGGTGAATTTGTGGACTTTGCTGTGTGATTTTATAAATAGTACTGATGTGGTGTTGTGTTGTGGGCTGTTGGGCATGAGAGGGAAGGGGAAATTCGCTGACGCTGGGCAACTGAGAAGATGGTGGTTTTAGTTCAATTTCCATGGCTTTTTAGAATTATGAAAATCATGTCTCCCATCTTCAGATGTTTACAGTTTGCAATGGGACTTCCTCATGATTCAGTTGTTAGTGTTGATTGGGATTATGGATAGCTGAAATGGTTTAGGTAAAGGAGAGAAAACTTACTGTTACTGTTTCAGCTTTGAAGAGAACTTTGGAAGCCTACAGTGAGTGGTGCCTAAACTTAAAGGTCCATGTTTATTTTGCTTCCTTAAAAAAGGAAACGAACTTTTAAAATTACTTTTCATGTGAGAATCTTGCGTTTAGCATACAAATTGGGTACAGCATCCTGAAAATCTGGGAGGTGGGGGTTAAAGTGAGCACACTAAAGAGGCTCCTGAGGAGGTAGTGTCGCCTTGCAGTAGCTGTTAAGTATAGAGTACTGTGACACCTGGCCAGCTGTGTGCCCACTGCCAGGACTCCTAACCTGGGGGGTGGGGGGCTCTGCTGTAAATGGTGAACGCTTTAGCACAGGTGTGGTTAGCTGCTCCTTATCAGTGCAGTTAAGGGGAGGCTGATGACTTGGAGACTTTCTCACACCTGCAGAGACTTGAGTTTCTGAATGGGTGAAAGCTTTCTCTAGACTGGTGAGGATTGTAACTGGGGGCAAACCTCCTGTGGTTAGCTTTAAGATCAGCAATGCCTGACTGGTTGAAGCTGGAGAGGTTTGTGGTTTGTTTTAATAAAATCTCAATACATTAAGAAAGGATTTGGAATGCTATTCTTCCTTTGGCCCTTGTAGGGTGTAAGCATATCGGTGAGTTCGCCCATCTGTCTACCCAGGAACTCCCCAAATGCCCGTAGCTGTCAGGGTGGGGGAGCTAGGCACTGGAAACTGTCGGGTCTCCATGTGAGTGGCAGAGACCTCGCTGCTTTGAGCCCTTAGTTGCTGTCTCCCAGGGTGCGCATCAGCAGGAAGCTGGAACTGGGTGGGGTGGAGGGCTGGAGCCAGGGATGGGACACAGGCACTGTAACTCAGACGTGATCGGCTTCACCACTAAGCCAGTGCCTACCCTGCCCCTAGTAGAAATTTTGCCAGTTCTGTGAGTCCCAGTGAGCAGTTCCTGGACATGGCAGTGCGTTGGACTCAGAAGTGAGGTGTGTGCCTGGAGCCTGAGGAGTGTGGCATGTGCTTGTTGGGGGTTTGAGAGTCTGGGGCTCTGTTTCTGGAAGCTTTCCTCTTGATTTGTGTGAGCACTAGCATTCTCTGGTGAGGCCGCAGGCTGCTCTGATACGCCATGAAGGGCGTATTTTGTTCTGAGGTTTTGCCGCTGTGCTTGAAACCAGTCGTTGGTGAAGACTTCAAAAAAACATCCTCGGCCATTACAGACATCTGGGGTTTTCCCTGTAAAAGAGCTTGACTTGAGTTTTCATGAATCTTGAGGTAACTCGTTTGCTTTTGCACGTCTTGGACAGAAATTAAGAGGGAAGTGATCTTTGCTGTGCTTTGAAATTTTCTCTTTTAAAGGTTTATGTATTTCATTTGAAAGTCGTAAGAGTTACAGAGTGGGAGAGACAGCTTCTGTTGGTTCGCTTCCCGAATGGCTGCAGCAGCCAGAGCTGGGCTGTTTGGAAACTGGGAGCTTCTTCCTGATCTTCCACATGAATACAGGGCCCCAAGTCCACTGCTTTCCCAAATCAATAGCAGGGAGCCAGATCAGAAGTGGATGTTGCTGCTGGTAGTGGTTTTATTCACTCACCACAGTGCTGCCCTGAGGCTCTCAATGGAGGATTAAGATTGTGAGTTCAAGTGGCCCAGTTACTACTGTCCTAAGCAACACTCAGGCTATAGCTACTCTAGAGTAACTGTGTTTTCAAAAGGTACAAATTGCCTTGCTCAGTCTCTGGCAGTTCGTTTGGGCCCGGGAGGAAGGAGAGGCGGAAAGATGATTCGCCGTGCTATTCTTAGCCAGGCTTTGGCCTCTGATTCAAGCTCCTGGAGTCATCAGGCAGGAGGTGGCAGTGTGGTAGCGATGGCTGAGGAGTGGGATCCGCTCTCTGCCCTGAAAATCGGCTCTTTACCAGTTGGCTTGGGCTGCCAGGATTTTGCTTGCAGGCGGGTGGCACGCGTAGTTTTGAGTACCCCATTAAACTGAGGGTGT